AAAAGAAATGCAGAGATAATTATAAATTATTTTGAAAATTTGTACTCCAATACAATAGAAAATATTGAAGGTAATCAACACATTTCTTGAGTCATATGATTTGCCCAAACTGAATCAGAACGATATACACAAGTTAAACATATCAATTTCAAGCACTGAAATAGAAGATGCCTGCCAACCAAGAAAAGCTCAGGACCTACAAGAAATTCAAAGAAGAATAGCAATACTCCTGAAATTATTTCATGAAATAGAAAATGAGGGAACACTTCCAAACTCACTTTATGAGGTCAATATCATCTGGATTCCAAAACCAGACAAAGACACATCAAAGAAAGAAAATATCAGACCAATATGTCTAATGAACATGGGTGCAAAAATTCTCAATAAAATTCTGGCAAATCAAAAACAAAAGGTAGGGCACCACAATCAAATGGATTCATCCCAGGGATGCAAGGTTGGTTTAACATATGGAAATCAATAAAATCAATAAATATAGTTCATCACATCAATGAACTTAAGGATAAGAACCATATGATCATCTCAGTAGACTCAGAACAAGCATTCAAAAATTACAGCACCCAGTTATGTTCAAAACACTACAAAAACTAGGATAACAGGAACATATCTCAACATCATAAAAGCTACCTAAGCTAAGACTGAGGCCAATATCATTCTAAATGTTGAAAACTTGAAAGCAATCTGTCTAAAAACAGAATCAAGACAAGGATGCCCTTTTTCATCATCTCTATTTAACATAGTCCTTGAAACACTAGACAGAGAAATTAGGCTAAAGAAATTAAAGGGATACAGATAGGAAAACAAGAACTCAACACTATTTGCCAAGGATATGATTTTATACCTAGAATACTCAAAAAATTCCACCAGAAAACTTCTAGAACTAATAAATGAATTCATCAAAATAGCAGAATATAAAATCAACACCCATAAATCAAAGGTATTTCTGTACACCCATGACAAATCCTCAGAAAGAGAAACAAGGAAAACTATCCCATTTACAATAGCCTGAAAAAAATAAAATATGTGGGAATCAACTAAACAAAAAAGGAGAAAGACCTCTACAATAAAAACTATAGAATTCTAAAGAAAGAAATTAAAGAAAACCTTAGAAGATGCAAAGATCTCCCTTGTGCTTGGATAGGCAGAATTAATATTGTCAAAATGACAATAGCACTATCAAAAGCACTGTACAAGTTTAATGTAATTCCAATCAAAATCCCAATGATATTCCTTATAGAAATAGAAAAAGCAGTCATGAAATTCATCTGGAAAAATAAGAAACCCAGAATAGGTGAATCAATCCTTAACAGGAAGAGCGAAGCAGGTGGCATCACTATACAGACCTTAAAGTATACTACAGAGAAACAGTAATAAAACCATCATGGTATTGGCACCAAAACAGACTGGTAGACCAATAGTACAGAATAGAGGACATAGAGACTAACCCACATAATTACAGTTATCTTATATTAGACAAAGGCACCAAAAACATACATTGGAGAAAAGATAGCCTCTTCAACAAATGGTGCTGGGAAAACTGGAAATCCATATGTAACAAAATGAAACTAAACCCTGTCTCTAACCATGCACAAAACTCAACTCAAGGTGGATGAAGGACATAAGAATTAAACCTGAGACACTGTGCCTATTAGAAAAAAAAGTAGGCCCAAATCTCCATCATGGTGGATTAGGCCCCAACTTCCTTATTAAGACTCCTATATGGCAAAAAATTATAACCAAGAATCAATAAATGGGATGGATTCAAACTATAAAGCTTCTCCTCAGCAAAACAAACAATCAGTGATGTGAATAGAATGCCTACATTTTGGAAACAAATTTTTACCACACAAACATCAGATAGAGCACTAATCTCTAGATATATAAAGAACTCAAAAATCATAACACCAAAAAACCCAAATAACCCAACAAATAAATGGGCCAAGAAACTGAACAGACACTTCTCAAAATAAGATATACAATCAGTCAACAAATAAATATGTGAAAAAAATGTTCAACATCTCTAGCAATTAGAGAAGTGCAAATCAAAACTAAGATTCCATCTCAGTCCATTCAGAATGGCAGCTATTAAGAATACAACAACAATAGGTGCTGGTGAGGATGTGGGGGAAAAGGCACACTCATACATTGCTGGTGAGACTGCAAATCAATGCAGCCAATATAGAAAGCATGGAGAATACTTGGAAAACTGGGAATGGATCCACCATTTGACCCAGCTATCCCACTCATTGGTCTATACCCAAAGGATTTCAAAACAGCATACATAGAGACACAGCCACATCAATGTTTTTAGCAACATGGTTTACAATAGCTAAACTGTGGAACCAACCTGGATGCCCTTCAGTAGATGAATGGATTTTAAAAATGTGGTATATATACACAATGAAATATTACTCAGCATTAAAAGAGAATAAAATCATGACATTTGCAGGTAAATGGATGGCATTGGAGTATATAATGCTAAGTGAAGTTTGCCAATCCCCAAAAGCCAAATGCTGAATGCTTCCTCTGATTTAAGGATGCTGATTCATAACGTGGTTGGGGGCATGCATGGGAGGATCAGATGAACTCTAGATAGGGCAAAGGGGAGGGAGGGGAAGAGAGGGGGCATTGGGGTAGGAAAGACCATGGAATTAGATGGACATTATTACCCTAAGTACATATATGAAGGCACGAATGGTGTGACTCTACTTTGTGTACAACCAGAGATATAAAACATTGTGTTCTATATGTATAATATGAATTGTAATGCATTCTGCTGTCATATATAACAAATTTAAATTTAAAAAAAGAGTGGAAAATGAACACTTTGGAAAACATATTGTTTGAAAAAGTGTATACAAATTTTGGGTCAATTTTCTTTGCCACTGCATTCACTGATGATTTCAATCTTAATAATCTAAGCAATAAAAGAATCGTATCTTAATTTTTCTATAATTTTTATTTAACTACTTTTTTATTTTTGTATTTTTGATCCAAGGTATTGAACCCAGGGTCACTTAACCAATGAGCTCCATTACCATCCCTGTTTTAATTTTAATTTTAATTTTAAGACTGGATCTTGTTACGTTGCTTAGGGCCTCACTAAGTTGTTGAGCCTAGCTTTCAACTTGTGATCCTCCTGCCTCAGCCTCCCAAGATAATGGGATTATAGGAGTGTAACACCACACCCCACTTATTTAATTATTTGTAAGGTCTAACCTTTTTCAAATTTCATATATATCTTCTTTAATTTGCCTTTGTCTTTTTCCTAGGGCTTTGGTGTTATATCTCTTCTTGTGAGTTACGGACTATATAAAATTATTAACTATTATATTTTTCTTTTTCATAGTGCTGGAGATTGAAAGATTGAAATTAAGGCTTTTCTCACACCAGACAAGCACTCTACCACTGAGTTACACCCCTAAACTGAACCTTGTATCATTATTACTGCCAATTTTATGTAATTCATTCATTTTCAATGGTATTAATGCAGATTTGTGAAGCTGTCTTAATACACATGAAAAGTTAATGCAAAAAAATGCCTATTTCTGAGTATATATTATACAGATTTTAATTTTCTTTTTTTCCATTAAACATTACAAAAATCCTCTCAATTTTTATTTGAATTACATTACAGTTGGATAGGTTATAATGATAAATTTAAGGTAATATTTCCCTTCATAACATGCATGGTCTTCAAATCTAGCAACATGGTAATGAATACACATATGCCATGATTTGAATATGTCACCTGAAAAATTCAGGTGTTGACAGTGTGCCAGACTTAAGACATGGGACTTGTAAGAGGTGAGTAGGCCATTAGGTCTGCACCCTAATTACTGGTAGTTAAACCTTTAAAATGGGGATTTCTGGTAAATATGTGGAACTGGAGAACATCTTTCTTATGGGAAAGTACAGCATTTAACCTCTCTGAAGGTCACAGCAACAGGGTCCTTAATAGACATAAAACTGGCCTATGCCTTGCTCTTGAATTTCCTCAATTCCAATATTGTGAGAAATTTCTATTCTTTATAAATTACTCAGTCTCATGTATTTTTATAGAACCGAAAAATGAACTAAGCAGAAATATAAGGCTATTTTTGTAGTACTCAAGCTTATAATTTTCTTAATTTAGCCTTCATTTATATTTAAGCTAATTCATAAGTATGGCAAAATCAGATTCTACTAGTTATTTCCAAGTAGATTCAGATGATTCTAATTTGTAGATATTTGGATTTTTTGCTAACTCTTACTGTATTATTGCATGAATTCTCTTGAGGATTGAAATACAAAATTCATTGTTTTGAAATAATGATAAGTATTATTTTAAAATGATGACATATGTTACTTTATTGTTGTTTGTTTAAGTGTTTTTAAATTTTGAGAGATCTCTTCCCCTTCTTACTATTATTTGCAGTAAGTTTTACTTTTAGAAAGACAAATTTATTCCATTATTTCATCTGATTATGAAAGTATTTTTTGAAAAACTAAAATCAGAATAAAATTTTAAATGCATAATGCTATTATAATCATGTAAAATTTACACCTATACATAGATACACAAGAACTACTGGTTAGAAATATATTAAACAATTAATAATGATTATCTCTAAGCAATTTCTTTCATTGCTTTATCTTACTTTACTTTCAAAATAACTTTCTTTGGTATTAAAAACAAATATCTAAATAAATATAAAAATCACACCCAAAATTACTTAGTACTACTCTGATCATGTTAATTCTATATGTTGACAGAGAAATATTCAACACAAATAACTCAAAGTGTTATAATGTTGTCTTTTATTGAATATAAATTCTATTAAATGAATCTATTAAAAATTACCTTTCTCAGGCTGAGATTGTGGTTCAATGGTAGAGCACTTGCTAGCATGTGTGAGGCATTGAGATCAATTCTCAGCACCACATAAAAATAAATAAAATAAAGTCCATTGACAAATAATAAAATATTGTTTAAAACTTACCTTTCTCTGAGCAAGAATGAGATCTTGGTCTACCTTGGACATTAAAAGTGAGCCTCCATCATGTTCCATCCAGTAAAATTTCAAGTGCTGTAAATGTACTTTTGCATCCAGTTTTAACCTGTGTATAATTAAAAAGAAACTAATGTCAATAAATTATTTATATGTGCTTACTAGTTTAATCTTAACAACTGAACTTCAGTTATAATGAAAAATTTCCCCTTAAAATTGTGTGACAGAGGGCTAGGGCTGTAGCTCACTGATAGAGTGCTTGTCTCACACATGTGAGGCACTGGGTTTGATCCTCAGAAACACATAAAAATAAATAAAATTAAGATATTGTATCTGTAAAAAAAATTAATTGTGTGACAGAAGCAGTGCATGCTTTCAGAAATCAGATTTACATTTAAGACTATTATTTCAATTTATAATGTGTCAAGACTAGAGTTGGAGTGACAGATCAAAAGCTTGCTGTAGTAGTCCAGTTGAGAAATGGCTGTACGTAAACTATAATTGTAACCATGGTGATGGGGAGAAGTGTCAAGGTGTAATAAACAATTAGTCCCAAAAAAACAAATGCTGAATGTTTTCTTTGATATAAGGAGGCTAATTCATAGTGGGATAGGGAGCGGGAGCATGGGAGGAATAGACGAACTCTAGATGGGGCAGAGGGATTGATTGGAGGGGAAGGGATGGGGCATAGGGTAATTAATTTTGGTGGAATGTGATGATCATTAATATCCAAATTACATGTATGAAGACACATATTGGTGTGGATATACTATGTATACAACCAGTGGTATGAAAAATTGGGCTCTACATAAGTAATAAGAATTGTAATGCATTCTGCTCTCATATATAAATACAATTGGAAGGTAGTTTTAATAGGATGGAACTACTTAGATGTAAGGAGTAAAATAGGACATCAGTCTTTAGCAACTACTTTTATTGTGATCCAGTCACTGAAATTTTATAAGAATATAGGTAGCAGATTAGTTTCATCAATTTTAGGCATATTGAGTTTCAGCTATCTGAGATGACTATTATACCAGTGAATACAGTCATAAAGAATAGGTGAGAAAACTGAGCTAGACATGTACATTTAGGAGTCATCCACATATGGAAAATAGGTGAAGTTACAGGTGTAGATGGAGTCATCCTGGGAAGGTGAATAGAGAGAAATAAGCCAGAAATCTCTAGAGTTTATAAGATTAGCAGAAGGAAAAAAGCCAGCAAGGGAGATGAAAAGGGAAAACTATAGATAAAGGAGCTATATCAGAAGAGTGGGAATCATGAAATCCAGAGACACAGATTATTTCAAGATGGAGACAGTAATTAATAATGTCAACAGTTATAATAAGATGATGTATTAAGTTGACAATGTATTTAGCAGAAAGGAAAAAAACTGAAACTTTGGATTTGAAGACTAACTTCAGTGATTTAATCAGTATGTAGAGTGTTGAGAAATAATTAGGAAATGTGAGGTTTTAGATTTAATGAATATAAATAATTAATATAATAAATTTGTCCATGAAGGCAAAATATGACATAGGGTAGTAGCAAGCAGTATGGGAGACTGAGAAAGTTTCATTTGTTTTTAAGATGAGAGACACTTGTCAGTGATAATGAGGAAGGAGTGAGATAGGGAATCAGTCTTTAGCAACTGTGTTGCTATGTATATATGCATATGTATGTGTGTGTGTGTATATATATATATATATATATATATATATATATATATAGTGTGTGTGTGTGTGTGTGTGTGTGACAAAAGCTGAAGTCATAGTAAAGTGAGGTAGTAATTGGGCAGAGATCTGAGAGTAAGAACACATGAAATTCAGAACATAAGTGAAGGTACTTATATAGCAAAACAAAAAGGAAAGACATTTTTACTATTTTAAGAGAAGAAACAAGGAATGAATGACTGGAGACCTAGGAAACTGTGATGGTAAGAAACTGAAACAAATTCCACACTGCAGGCATTTTTTAGTGAGATAAGATATGGGATTATTTATTTGAATATAATGGGATAAGAACGTCACATGCAGGCTGGAAATTAATATACATTTAAGTCACTGCAATAGAGAAATGTGATTAAGAGCTGTCTACGGAAACATTTCTAGGCAGCAGTGATGGTCCAGTGATGCTGGAAAATATGAGTGTGCTGATAGATGGCAGAACCAGAAAACACCAATTTAAATTAAGTCATTATACTCAAATTGCCAAGTGAACAAATGCTTCACTGTCTCTATCCCAGAATAAAGTCTTTGCTTGTATTTTATCATTAAAATTTTTACATAGTACCTTCCCAATTTGTGAAACATGTTATCCACTTATATAAAACCTCTCTCATTTAAAATATGATAATTCTTTGTTAGAGGACTGGGAGTGTACTTCCATGTCACTAATAAGCAAAGGAAGAAAGGATGTCAGAATAGGACACGGGAAATATGTGAACATACCTTTTAATCCCAGGTCCTGCCATGACTCTCAGCATAGGGATCAGATCTTCGGCATAGCGGCACATTGGACCAGTGCACTGAAAAGGCTCCTGGGCTTCTCCAGCCATGGGAAACTGACCCTGGTTGGAAACCACACCTGAAAAGTGAGATACTCAGATTACATCTCTAAAAACAACAAACAAAAAAGAAATGATCTCTGCCTGGTGTATTTCACCATAATGTTTAGTATATCTAAAAAATCATTCTCCTGCTGAACTTCAAACCCCATTTATATTTCATGTTATTATAAATTGTTTATTATTAATAGACACATACATACTTATGGGGTACAATTTGGTGTGGAATGACGTGTATATATTATATAATATTTAAATAATATTAAACAGATATATGTTCTCAAATATTTATCATTTCTTTTTTAATATTTTATTTTTCAGTTGTAGTTGGACACAATATCTATTTATTTATTTATTTGTGGTGCTGAGGATCGAACCCAGGGCCTCACATGTGCTAGGCAAGTCATCTACCACTGAGCCACAACCCCAGCCCCAAATATTTATCATTTCTTTTTTTTTAAAGAGAGAGAGAGAGAGAGAGAGAGAGAGAGAGAGAGAGAGAGAGAGAATTTTTTTAATATTTATTTTTCAGTTTTCGGTGGACACAATATCTTTTATTTTATTGTATTTTTATGTGGTGCTGAGGATGGAACCCAGAGCCAAGTGAACGCTTGCCTGGCAAGCGTGTTACCACTTGAGCCACATCCCCAGCCCCATTTATCATTTCTTTATGGAGAAAACATTCAGAGTGAAGATGGCAAAGTGGAAGTAGGCCAAAAATCTCAACTCCTTTACAGTCTGGAACTGAAGCTGATCAGAGAGGTGATTGACAGGTAGACAGGTTTATAGCAGCACAATCCACAATAGCTAAGCTATGGAACAAACCTAGATGCCTGTCAACAGATGAATGGATAAAGAAATTCTGGTACATACACACAATAAAATAGTACTCAGCTATAAAGAATGACTTTACAATATGTACCAGTAAATGGATGGATCCAAAGGCTATCATGCTAAGTGAAATAAGCCAATCCCCCCCCCTTAAAAAAAGTCAAATGTTCTTTCTTATACATGGATGCTAATATACAATAAGAGGAAGAATAATAATAGAAGTTTGGTGGATTAGACAAAGACAAATAAAGGGAAGGGGAGAGGGGACAGTAATAGAAAAGATAATAGAAAACAGTGGAATGAATCTGACATAACTTTCCTTTGTACACATATGAATCCACCACAGTGCATCTAGATATCATGTACATCCACAAGAATGGAATCCTAATTAGAATAAGATATATTCCATACTTGTATGTGTTTGTGTGTGTGTGTGTGTGTGTGTGTGTATATATATATCAAAATAAACTCTACTGTCATGTAAAACTAAAAATAATAATAAAATAAATATCTATATAGGAAAATTAGAAAAAAAATAGTGATTTATAAATATACATAAAGGTGAATTTCACTTTATATTGGTACAAAGCATAATTTAGTCAATTTCATTACAACACTTCTTCCTTTTCCTGTCTTTATTTCCTCTCCCTTAGTCCCCTTCCTAGGATGCACTCACTGATCTGTGTGCTCTTTCCCATGGTATTTCTCCACCTCTTTTTTTCTTTATTTTGGTCTAGCTTTTGCATATGAAGGAAACCTTTGCCCTTGACTTTCTGAGTGTGGCTTATTTCACTTAGCCTGATGTTCTCCAGTTTTATCCATTTATTAGTGAATGCCAAAATCCAATTTTTCTTCAAAGCTGAGTAAATCTCCAAGTTTTCTATATCTATTCAAGTGTGGACAGGCACCTGGGCTAGTTCTATAAGTGAATTGCATTGCTATATACACTGATGTGGCTGCATAACTATAGTATGCTACTTTTAGTTATTTGGATAAATACCAAGGATGGGGATAACAGAGTCATATGATGGTTCTATTACTAGTCTTTGAATGATCTCCATATTACTTTCCAGAGTTGTTAGACCAATAGGCACTCCCAACAAAAATGTATGTGTGTAGATTTTTCCCAACATCCTCACCAACGTTTAATGTTATTTGCGTTCTTGATTATTGCCATTTGAATTGAGTGAAATTAAATCTCAATATAGTTTTGCTTTGCATATCCCTGATTACAAATGTTGAACATTTTTACACATATTTTTTGGCTATCTATTACTTTTTATGAGAAATGTCTGTTCAGTTGTTTGCCCATATATTAATTGGGTTATTTTTTTATTTTAAGTTTCTTGAGTTTGTTATATATTCTGGATATTAATTCCTTGTCTGAGAAGCAGGTGGCAAAAATCCTAAACATTCTGTAGGATCCTTCTTCACAATATTGTTTACTTTGATGTGCAAAATATTTTTAATTTGATTTTGTCTCACTTATTGATTCTTGGTTTTATTTCTTGTGTTTTAGGCATCTTGTTAAGGAAGTAGGTATCTGTGACAATATGTTTAAGTGTTGAGACTACCAGTTCTTCTGAAAATTGCCAAGGTTCATGTCTAATTCTTAGGTATTTGATCAACTTTCAGTTGAATTTCTGATAGAGATAAGAATTTAGATTCATTCTTCTACAAATGGATATACAGATTTACCAGCACCATTTGTTAAAATTGCTATCTTTTCTCCAGAGTATGTTTTGGGCACCTTTGTCAAGTGTCGTATGTCTCTATCTGTGTGGGTTTGTCTCTATGTCTTCTATTCTAATCCATTACTCTTTATGTCTGTTTTGACCCAGTAACATGCTGTTTTGATACTATAGCGATGCAGTGTAATTTGAAGTCTGGTATTGTGATAACTCCAGCATTGCTCTTCTTTTTTTTTTAATTTTTTATTGTTGGTTGTTCAAAACATTACATAGTTCTTGATATATCATATTTCACACTTTGATTCAAGTGGGTTATGAACTCCCATTTTTACCCCGGATACAGATTGCAGAATCATATCAGTTACACATCCATTGATTTACATGTTGCCATACTAGTGTCTGTTGTATTCTTCTGCCTTTCCTATCCTCTACTATCCCCCCTCCCCTCCCCTCCCCTCTTATCTCTCTGCCCCCTCTACTGACAGAAGTGGAGAGAGAGGGCATCCCTGACTTGTTCCAGATTTTAGAGGGAATGCCTTCAATTTTTCTCTATTCAGAATGATGCTAGCCTGAGGCTTAGCATAGATTGCTTTTACAATATTGAGGTATGTTCCTGTTATCCCTAGTTTTTCTAGAGTTTTGAACATAAAGGGATGCTGTACTTTGTTGAATGCTTTTCCCACATCTATCGAGATGATCATATGGTTCTTATTTCTAAGTCTATTGATGTGGTGAATAACATTTATTGATTTCCGTATATTGAACCAGCCTTGCATCCCAGGGATGAATCCTACTTGATCATGGTGCACAATTTTTTTGATATGTTTTTGTATCCGATTCGCCAGAATTTTATTGAGGATTTTTGCATCTAGGTTCATTAGAGATATTGGTCTGTAGTTTTCTTTCTTTGAAGTGTCTTTGTCTGGTTTATGTATCAGGGTGATGTTGGCCTCATAGAATGAATTTGGAAGTTCTCCCTCTTTTTCTATTTCCTGAAGTAGCTTGAAAATTGTTGGTATTAGTTCCTCTTTAAAGGTTTTGTAAAACTCTGCTGTATACCCATCTGGTCCTGGGCTTTTCTTAGTTGGTAGTCTTTTGATGGTTTCTTCTATTTCCTCAATTGATATTGGTCTGTTTAGGTTGTCTATATCCTCCTGACTCAATCTGGGCAGATCATATGACTTAAGAAATTTATCTATGCCTTCACTATCTTCTAATTTATTGGAGTATAAGGATTCAAAATAATTTTTGATTATCTTCTGTATTTCTGAAGTGTCTGTTGTGATATTGCCTTTTTCATCCCGTATGCTAGTAATTTGAGTTCTCTCTCTTCTTCTCTTCGCTAGCATCGCTAAGGGTCTGTCGATTTTGTTTATTTTTTCAAAGAACCAACTTTTAGTTTTGTCAATTTTTCCAATTGTTTCTTTTGTTTCGATTTCATTAATTTCAGCTCTTATTTTAATTATTTCTTGCCTTCTACTTCTTTTGCTGTTGTTTTGCTCTTCTTTTTCAAGGATTTTGAGATGAAGTATGAGATCATTTATTTGTTGGTTTTTTCTTTTTTTAAGGAATGAACTCCAAGCAATGAATTTTCCTCTTAGAACTGCTTTCAATGTGTCCCATAGATTCCGATATGTTGTGTCTGTGTTTTCATTTATCTCTAAGAATTTTTTAATTTCCTCCTTGATGTCTTCTATAACCCATTGATCATTCAGTAACCTATTGTTCATTCTCCAAGTGATGTATTCTTTTTCCTTCCTTCTTTTATCGTTGATTTTCAGTTCCATTCCATTATGATCAGATAGGATGCATGGTATTATCTCTACTCCTTTGTATTGTCTAAGAGTTTCCCTGTGACATAATATATGATCTATTTTTGAGAAGGATCCATGTGCTGCTGAGAAAAAAGTGTAACTCTTGATGTTGGGTGGTATATTCTATATATGTCAATTAAGTCTAGGTTATTAATTGTGTTATTGAGTTCTATAGTTTCCTTATTCAACTTTTGTTTGGAAGATCTGTCCATTGGAGAGAGAGGTGTGTTGAAGTCTCCCATGATTATTGTATGGTGATCTATTAGACTCTTGAACTTGAGAAGAGTTTGTTTGATGAACATAGCTGCACCATTGTTTGGGGCATATATATTTATGATTGTTATGTCTTGTTGGTGTATGGTTCCCTTGAGCAGTATGTAGTGTCCCTCTTTATCCCTTTTGATTAACTTTGGCTTGAAATCTATTTTATTTTATATGAGTATGGACACTCCTGCTTGTTTCAGAAGTCCATATGAGTGACATGATTTTTCCCAACCTTTCACCTTCAGCCTATGTATGTCTTTTCCTATCAAATGCGTCTCCTGTAGGCAGCATATTGTTGGGTCTTGTTTTGTGATCCATTCTACTAGCCTGTGTCTCTTAATTGGTGAGTTTAAGCCATTAACATTTAGGGTCATTATTGAGATATGGGTTGTTTTTCCAGCCATATTTGTTTATTTATGT